AAACAAATACAGGTAATGAGAGCTCTTCCTCAGAACAGGAAGGCAAAAACCCAATGCCAGGTTTGGGAGCATCTGGACTCATGGGCAGCACAGGCATCCTATGACACTACACCAAGTCTGACATCTCTTCAGGGCAGTCCCACCAAAAGGACATAACCTAAATCTAGTCACAGGAAAAGAAGACAAAGCTAAACTGAGATCCTTTTATAAAATAACTGTCTTGGACTCTTTAAAAATGTCAACTAAATAAAACCTACTCTTAAAGGACTGGTCCAGATCAAAGAGGTATGAGATGCTAATGTAACACAGACTCTTACATGTTCTGTAAAGGAGTTCACGGAGACAAATGCCAAGACCTCAGTATTCTACTGACTGGGTAAAAGTTTACAATCAGTATTAATTTCTGAATGGTACATTAATTATTATTAAAGAATTATTTGTTTCAGGATGAAAATATTAATCTCTCACAGGGTTGTCCAACCTTTAGATACTGCAACACAATGCTGTTGGGCCACACAGCTATCATGGGCCACACACAGCACCTGGATACCGGCTGGGCATGCCCAATGCTTTAAAAAAAAAAAAAAAAAAAAGCATCGCCCTAGTCTTTTTTTTTTGGGGGGGGGGGGGTGCAGGGTGGTAGTGGAGAGGAGTGGTGGTGCTGGGCATTTAGGCTTTGACCATGCTAAGCCAGTGCTCCCTCAAATCCCAGCCATTCTCTGAAATGGCTGAACTAAAAACTAGTAAGGAAGAAAGGAAAGACAAAGCCAACAAGGTCAATGTCTTACTTGGCCAAATCCAGGTAAAGGTTATCCAGGAAATCTCTGAACAATTCTTGTACCTTTCTATAAGTCTGAAATTAGGGGAAAATGTTATTTTTAAAAATGCCCCTTGGGCTGGAAGTAACACACCAAGAAAGCTAGGGAAAACCACCAACAACAACAAAATACCAAGCAATCTAAGATTCGGAGTCAACATGCATACACTTATTAAAATTAAGAACCCTGACTCACACCAGCTAAGGAAGCACACCCTGGAGTCCCCAGACTCCCGCATTCTATCGTGGCAAGGTATTCCCTTGAATCTGTTAAGTATCTCAATTGCTAAAGCGACTCTCCCTCACCTTCTTCCTTGCTCATCAGACTTCTGACTACAAACCAGTAGCTTTCAAGTGTGTATCCCATTACATACAATGATAATCAGACTTTCAAAGCTGACTATACACAACTTCTTGGGAATTGGACTAAGAGTAGCTTCCCAACCACTATCAACCCTGGAACAGCACTCGGAGCACCATGGGACTCACTGGAATCGTAGACTTAGCAAGCTGCTTCACCCTGCAAGCTCTCGGATACCTTTATTCAAGAATGACCAAGGTTAGAGGGAAACTAAATTTTTAACTGGGAAAATCACTTCAGTATTTAAATTAACTCCACTTGAGAAAACTTGGTAAGACACTGCCTTAAAATCTTGATAAACCAACCAGAGGTACAAGTGAGCACTTGCTATGGCCATGCTCATCTCTGAAGAACAACCGTCCCCATCCGTCTACCACCAGGACGACGAATACACACACAGAGATGGAGGACATTTGAGCCTTTATTCCTAACTTCAAAAACTGGGACAATGAATACACATACAGAAATGGAAGACTGCAGGATATCTGGGCCTTTATTCCTAACTTCAAAGACTGAGGAGTCAGGTCTTAAAAGACTGTGTTGCACTGAGCATTTGGCTCCCTCTACATATTTAATGGTATACAATGACTAAAGAGTATTCAGTAAGGTGTTTAGCAAATCTTGCTTATAGGAACAAGGTCACAAAACTTCATTTTCAAAATGCTTAAACCCAAGCCAACTCTCTTCTTTCAGAATATGGAAGGCATTATTCTTGGTTTTATAAAAGATTTTCCTATTCCATCATCTACAATCATATTCTTGCTGATGGTAGTGTGTTATGTTCAATGATACAAACTTACAAAAAAGTAAGTCTTCCAAATTTAAAAACTATATCCTTGATACAAGGGGCAGACATTTTTATAATATAAGCAAGCTATCACCCTAAGCTGCTGTCCAAGGTAGAATCAATACAGAACAATTTTTATTTAACCTATAAAGCAAGTCTGTGTTCCCTTCAAATCTATATACATTTTAAATCCATTTCATTCTACTGAAATAAAAATTAAAATAACCCTCAGTTACAAGTTTTGTAGAGCTAAAGTTGTAGCTCAAAGATAGGACACCAACTTTGCAAGCACAAGGCCTTGGGTTTAATCCCAAGAAGGGAGAATAGGGGTAAGTACACTAATTCTATGTAGAAATAAAATTAACTTCTCAATTGTCCTGAACCTTCATTTCCCAACCCCAAAGATATAAAAGTGATTTAAAGTGGATCAAAGTGCTTGGATTTATATTAAAAGTGCTTCATATGTATTTTTATATGTTCATAAAGCAATCAATATAAAACAAATGTAAGAGGTTGGTTTATATTCTAATATTTGGTTAGTAGCCAAAGAATCCTAACTTTTTCACTTGAATCCAGAACTAAAGTAGTAAAACTACTCCAGTTCCTCTGATAAAATTGCATAAAATGCCCTAAATATCAGTAACAATTACATTCCATCTAATCTCTTATTTCTTACTATCAAATCATGAAACCTTTCAATACTTTAAGTGAACAATCAAAATAGTCATTTATTCAAGTTTAAGACCAAATTTCTCCTCTCTCAATATAAGGGAATACATGCACTATTCAATAAAAGCTCTTTGGCAGACTTCCTGAGGTCTCAGATGTGCAAACACATCTAACGTGACTCATCAGGACATCATTGACGCACCCTCTTCACCAGTGGCGTCCTGAGAAATGTGAAGGTCTTCAATCATCTCAGCCAGACTAATTCGAGGCGCTCCCTCATCATCTGTGTCACTTTCCACAGGGATGGTGGAATCTAAGGAAGCCCAGAGAGTTCACATACACAAATGGAAATGCACAACCACCACCCTTACCATCAGCAGTACTAAGTAACTATGCTGTAGTAAAGCTCTCAGATCCTATATACAGCAGGCTTCCAGATACTTACAGAATAAATGCGTAAATTAAATATGCAAGAGCTAGCAACTTAAGGAATAAGGCTCAGATAACAATCACATCATATGTATATAGCAAGCGATATTTAGTAAATTTTACTGCTCCTTATTTATCTGTAGGTAAAAGCCTGACTACAATAGTTTATAAGACAAACAAGTCACTTACGAAAAGTAAATACCAAATATCCTCAAAGATACTATCTACAACACACCCAAAACACCAACCTCTGTAAATGTTGACATTTTTTCTAATTGCCTCATCTTCTTCAAGATCTTCAAGGAAATCTTGATATTGCCTGCAAGAAAAAGAAACTTTGAGCACTCTCTCAAGTATTATACTATTCACAAAGGTCAAATATGGATGCTACTTAATTAGGCAGGCTGGAAAACAAATTTCCTTGCAATAGTACATAACCACTAAATATTAAGGTGATGATGTTAAATGCAAGACAATGAAAAGATACCTCTCACCTCCATTTTATCCACACAAGCCAATTCTTATAGGCAAGTGAAACAAGCCTTTTAAGACTACGGTTAATTTGGGTTATTCTGTTTTGTGTTTTAATGATTTACTTTTATTTATCTCTGTGTATGTGCGTGAATGCGTGCGTGCGTGCGTGCGTGCGTGCATCTGAGTATATGCCAAGAGTGTGAGGGTACCCAAGTGGCCAGAAGAGGGCACTGCATGCTCTGGAAATGGAGCCACACCATATGGGTGCTGGGAACTGAACTTGAGTTCTCTGAAAGAGCAGGAAGCATTTCTTAATTACAAGAGCCATCTTTGCAGCCCAAGAGGCAGCCCAGAAGATAATGCTGTTGAGTCAGTTCTCTCCTTCAGACTCTATGTTGGTTCTAGGGGCTGGAATTCTGGTCACAAACCTTGCTGAAATAGTCAAGTATGTACTTCTAAACAGTTTAACAGGTTACATATGTATATATTTTTTAAAATCACACTATGAAATGCTATTGCTTCCCAATAATGTAAATTCTTCATTTTTTTTCAATGTTTTTTTTACCATCATCAAGAATTAAGGCCACAGACTGAAGAGATAGCCCAGCAGTTAAGGGCACTGGGTCCTTCAGAGGACCCAGGTTCATTCCCCAACACCCACATCATGGCTCAAAACCATCTGTAACTCTAGTCCTAGAGGAGCTGACACCTTCTTCAGGCCTCACAGGGACTGGATGCACATGGTACAAACATAAATTCACACAAACACTCATACACATAAAATAAAGGTAAATAAAAATATCAAAAAAAAAAGAATTAAGGTCACATCTTAATTCATTTAATACACATTTTTGGAAAACATTATTTTCACTTCTGCTTAAGTTATCTGAGTAACATCTAATGTCAATTTAAACTAATTTTGTTAAGCTTAAGACATAAGCAATCATCCATGATATCCACATGGTAATTATTCATTATATTTGAACTTTTTAATGAAATTATTTACATCAACACTGTAATTATAAAGACAATAACCCAGGCAACAATTACTGTATAATAATTGCTTATATGTCATTACATTCTTTCATGGATTCTCTTAAGCAGATTCCATTCATAAATTCCTAATCCAAAGTTAATTTTGAAGGCAACGATCTACTGGGTAACAGTAATTTCTTTACAATGGAAGGCTGATTTCTAAGGGTTTCCCTTGAAACAACTTTAAGGCTTAAGGAAAGCAGGACCTTTCATCATCTGTGTCCATGTCTTCTCGGTCCCTCGCAAGCTCTTTCAGTTTCCAGTTTCTACGGCGCTGGCGTTTCGTCCGATCATAGCTCTTCTTAATTAACACCTGTTACAGAAGTATCTGCAGTTACAGCATGTCAGACACACACAGGAGGAAAAAATTCAAACCTCAGGCATGCCAGGGATTCCAACTGAGGGCAGCAGTTACTCTTCAGAAGGGTGTAGAGATCAAAAGGCAGTGTCAAGAGGACTTTAAACTTTTACCATGTACTCATTAGGATGCACTAGAGCATTATGTATCTAGCTGTGAAAATTTCAAATTACTAAATGTTAAATTTTTAATTCCCAAAACTTGCACTTTTTCCTAAATTTTAATTTTCACTTACCATTCATACAGCACATTTTGAAACATTACAAATACTTAGTTTTTCACAGTAATAAGCACTTAGAAAATGTATATGAATTTTATAACATTTAATAATTATGTATTGAAATTTTTAGAAAAGAAAAAAATTTCAAGATGACTAGTTATCTTGTGTGACCTTTTAATAAATACCCATCCTGCAGCTGGAGAGATGGCTCAGCAGTTAAAAGCACTTGGTGCTCTTGAGATGACCTGGATTCAGTTCCCAGCACCGACATGGTGGCTCACAACTATTCGTAACTCCAGTTCCAGGGGATGTGACACCACCCACACTGTACACACGTGGTGCACACGGATACAGGCCAGCAAGACACTCACACATTAAAGAAAGAAATAGAAAAAATAATACCCATTCTGACTCATATCCAATTTTTTTTGCTACTTTATCAACTGAAGACCAAACAGATGAAATAGGAGCCTCTATTACCAGGACTTCATTTCTGTTCACAGTTAAAGCAATTCATGTTTATTCTAAAAAGATTAAGCAAGTGAAAGTAGAGTATTATCTTCATTCACTGCTGTTTATGAACTTTAAATTCATCATGGTACAACTCTACAAGCTTTTCAAAAGTCAGTCTTTCTCCAAGAGGTGATACTATGAAGATTACTTTCGATTCTAATTTGTATCTAATACTGAATTATGGTCTTACTTCTAAAGGGCCTATGAAGTGGAGAAAATATATAAAATAAGCGGAGGCTAACCTGAGAGTGAGTCTGAATAAATGTGAAGTCATCATTTCCAGGTACAAACTTGGCTGCACTCTATCAACAGTACTGTGAGTTTTGTTTGGCAGCACCGGAGACTGAGGCTAGGCCTTATGCACGCTAGGCAAGCACTTCGTCACTGAGAAACATCCTCAGTCCTCTCGTCCGTGTTTGCTTTATTGAGACAGGCTCTCATTAAGTTTCCCAAACTGGTCTTAAATTCACTTACACTCACTCTCTAGCCCAGGTAGGTCTTAAACTTGTGATCTTCCAGCTCAGACTCCTGCATACCTGAGATTAATTATGTATATGTACCATCAGGTCAGGCACTATCAAGGGTTTTGCTAAGAATATGAAAATTTGATTATTGGAGGTGGGGGTGCCCTGAATAAATCCTCAGAATCACACCAACCCTTTATTGTAACAGGAAAAACAACAACAAAAACCTTAGAGCCTTACCACATCTGGAACTCTATCTGAGTTCATTTTGTTGACATGCTCATCGTTTAAATTACAGTTGGCCAAATCAAATCTGAAATGTAAACAGTGAAAAGTTTAATGAGTATCCTTTTTGTATAATTCTATTTTATATACAGCATCCCTATACATGTACACACATACACACACACACACACACACACACACACACACACACACACACACACACACACCCCTACCTTTCTAAGTAAAAGATTTCATATGCTCCCCATTTTAAGTTTTGAAATTTGGGGCTGGAAAGATGGCTCAGTGGTTAAGAGCACTGATTGCTCTTCCAAAAGACTTAGGTTCAATTCTCAGCCCTCACACGACAGCTCACGACCATTCTGTGCAGTTCAAGGGGATCCAACGTCCTCTCCCAGGCTCTGTGGGCACCAGGCACATACACTCATGCAGGCAAAAGATATACATAAAGTTTGAAATTTTTAAAAATCAAAATAAATAGAGGTTCTGAAATACGCTATATGGTGCACATGCCTCTGCAAACAGGAACACACTGCACTCTGAGTTTTCACTGTCCACTGCGGACCCTCTTCTCAAAAGACAGACTGACACAGCAGCCTTAATTCAGAAGGCAACTGAATGAGTCTGCACAGTTTATAAAATGAGCAACACTTTCACTCTTATAAATGGAACTCAAGACTCTGGAAACAAAGCCCATGTCTAGAGCACACTAATGAGCGCAGGTATAGAGACTGTTACTTTTATGGGCACTGTCTGGCACATAGAGCTGTTTTCTTTCTAATATTTTTTTTTATTAATTATGTGTATGTGCCTACACACATTTATGAACACTGTATGCATGCAAGTGGGGTCAGAAGTGTCAAATCCCTTGAAACTGGAGCTACTAAGAGTTGTGAGCTGCCTGATATGAGGACGGGGAACTGAGCCTAGGTCCTCTACAACAGCAATGCACACAACCTCTGAGCCATCTCTTCAGCCCCGCTCTTTCCAAAAGGTGAAGTATTATCACAGCCATTAAACAACCCACTCCCACTAAAAAGCTATAAATATTCAAACTATATAATTCAGTGTTCAATTACCAAAAGCTTTGAATAAATGAATGACTCTTTCAGATGATGGCCCAAATGGAACAACTATTAGCTTCTGTCCAATACATGGGTTTATAGTTATCAATAATAAAATAAGCTAGAAGGCTCGTAAGAACTCTGAAATCTTTTTTGAAATTAACAAGTTTAGTATTTTAAATATTTATTGACTCCTGAAGAAAACTTGCAATGCTATCTGGCAAGTCAAAACACAACAAAATGAAACAAACCCCAGCACCAGGTCTCCAGGATTTAAAAGATGTCCCAAGTGAGTCCGACAAAAATACTGTTTATCTGTATTCATTTCAGATGTCTTCTGGACCCAGACTTCCCCAAGGGTGTGCTTTAACAGAAATGAAAAAAAGATTCAGGAACAAAACAATTCAAGAATCATTTCATGAAAAAATTAAATACAATACTGACTTTTTTTCTCATTTAATATGCATTTAGAACTGCTTCTACTTTCCAGAATTCTAAAACACTGTCAAAACTAATGAATTACCAAATCAGAAATACACAAAATGACTTCAAAGGAAACCATAAAAACAATCTAAAACTTGTATGAAACATTAACACTGCCCCCTGAAAAAACAAACTCACAACATATACATCTAGCGTTTTCAAAGGAAATGTCTTCATAGAGACTGGTTAACTCAGAGGGAGCACAAAAGTGACCGGAGGAGTAAAAGGATCTTAGAGCAAGAAAACAGTCCAAGCAAATGCCTGTGAGACCTAAGACTTAAAAAAACAAAAACAAAAAAACCAAGAGTTCAGAAAAATGGACAAATTACCCCAGCACACTAATACTGAAAGCACACAGCCCGCCCTGGACTGGAAGGATAGCTCAGTGGATAGAGATAACTGCCCCCAAGTCTAACGACCTGAGTTTGCTCCTCAGATTCAACTCCTTCAAGGTGTCCTCTGATTTCTACATGTACACATGTGCATATGGCACAGCTTTCCCCTCCCCAAATAAAATTTAAAAATACACATCATCACCAGGTGGTGGTGGTGCATGCCTTCAATCCCAGTACTTGGGAGGCAGAGCCAGGCGGATCTCTCTGAGTTCGAGGCCAGCCTGGTCTACAGAGCAAGAACCAAGATAGGCACCAAAACTACAGAGAAACCCTGTCTCCAAAAAAAAAAAAAAAAATACACATCATCTCTTAAATATTTTCATAAAAAATAATTGTTTGCCAAAATGTAGGTGCTCTTCCAATTTAGAGGAAAGACATTAAATCAAGTTAAATGGCACTAGAAGCACACAGTAACAGAGATCCAGAAGGCAGCATATTCTACAAGGCCTGTGCCCTTTCAGTTTAGGAAGTTGGTATCATAACAACACAGGAAGGCGTTACCACTAAAGAAAAGATTTAAGAATACAATATTCACATAATTTAATGTGTGTTCTCCACCTCGATACCTGTCTGAGCAAGCTCCAAGACACTTCTGAGACAAAGGAAGGAATCTGAATGTGGACCAAATGTAGTTCTCCTAGTGATAAAAAGACTGACTCAAAAGATTCCTATGTTGTATAAAAATATATGATTTCATATTCAATAATGATTCTGAAATTTAATGTCCACTGGTTCTCTTCCACCAAAATAAAGGGGGAAAATGACTTTTTAAAAATAGAGCAAATTAAAACAAAACAAAAAAAGCCTTTCTTTTCCCAACACAAAACGAAGACAATTGACTTACCAGACTACTGTCCTGCAACCTTCATCAAGATGACTCCACTCAACTTTATTGTCTGAGACAGGGACTCAGTGTGCAGCCCTGGTACTTGGTACTTGACATGTAAACCAGGCTTCTGCCTCCTGAGTGCTAGGATTAAAGGGATGCACTGCCACAGCCAGCCATGACAACTCAATTTTAAAAGAATTGTAGTGTGTGTGTGTGTGTGTGTGTGTGTGTGTGTGTGTGTGTGTGTGTCAGAGAGAGAGAGAGAGAGAGAGAGACAGAGAGAGAGACAGAGAGAGAGACAGAGACAGACAGACAGACAGACAGAGGGTGGCGGCACATGCCATAGCACATATCTAGAGGTCAGAGGAAAACTTTGTAGTATGGATTCCAGGGATCCAACTCAAGTCATCAGACTTCACTTTTACCTGTCGAGTGATGTCTCTGGCCCTCACAGCTAACCTGTGTTTTTCTTTCTTTCTGGACTCCACATTTTATAATGACCAGCAACTGAAAACCAAAACATTTTAAACAGTAAGAAGGGTAGATGCTGCTTACCTTTTTTGATATGACTCCAGCCCCTGCACTTCGTTTCAGATCTCTGACGATGCTGCATTCCATCACGATAAACTCTTCGAGCTGTTTAGGATGGCATAAACTATTGAAAGGGTGACTCCAGAAAGTGTTTCCATCAATATCTGCAACTAAGAATAAGCATAAAAAACAAGATAACATGTTGACCAGAAAGATGCATATAACAAGCAGGAAGCCATCACTTCTGAGCCCCATACACAAGCCCCAAACCTCCAACTGGAATAAGGGAAATATCCAGTATCAAAAATATTTACATCTTATTTAGTTATTGTTAAGCAGAATGCCACAGAACAAATTCAACCAGTTTTAGGTCACGTGCTGACATTTTATGGTAGAAACCTATTGGTCATCATAGCTACTTAAAAGTTATAAGCCATAAAACCTACTTTTATCTGAAAAGTATCAAAATAACAGAAAGTTTATTAGAAACTTAAGAAAAAGATTGAGGAGACAAATAACAAGACTTCTATCACTATTCAGTATTCCTTTTATAAAAAATGATTTATATAAAGATATGCTAAAAATGACCCATAATAATGATAAAAAGTTAAAATTCTTACTTAAATTAGTTGTTCCACTGGATCACAGCTCAGATATCCCAAAATGTAAAATACTTGTTTAAAAAAACATATAGTTTGCCGGGCGGTGGTGGCACACGCCTTTAATCCCAGCACTCGGGAGGCAGAGGCAGGCCTCTGTGAGTTCGAGGCCAGCCTGGTCTCCAAAGCGAGTTCCAGGAAAGGCACAAAGCTACACAGAGAAAACCTGTCTCGAAAAACCAAAACAAACAAACAAAAAAAAAACATATAGTTTAGCATCAGAATCTCTGTCTAGTAGGCACAGGGCTCTATGTCCAATCCTCACACTTGAACACACACACATTTGGCAAAAGACTTCGTCACCAAAATTGTATGAATCAGAAAATTTTCAGAAAAATGAATGGAATGGTTTCTTTAAAAAAGAAAGAGAATAACAAAAAGCTTTCTAATTCCTGTATTTTTAAAGTACTAAACTATTAGTCTTTCAAAATATTATCAAGAATGACATTTGGGGCTGGGGATGTAGCTCACTTAGAAGAATGTTTGCCTAGCATCCACTAGGCCTCAGGTTCAATCTCCAACAGCATCTAACTCGGTTTCATGGCACACCTCTATGAGTACTGGGGAAGTGGAGGGAAGAGGATCAGGAATTGAAGGTCATCCTTGACCTCATGCAGAGTTCAAGGCCAGCCTAGGCTACATGAGACCCTGTCTCAAAAAAACTGAAAGAAAGAAAATGAGAGTGGGGGAATAAATAATATAAAGGCAAGAGTGATTACTGTTTACCACAGAGGACAAAATTGTTAAAACAAATGTAGTTCCAAAGCTTACCTTGTAGGGTATTTGGGTCTATGAGATGGATGGCACTAGTTACTCGAATACAAATACATATCTGGTTCATATTTCCAAGACTCTGCGCCAGTTTTGGTGACAGGCAGACAACATTATCCTAGGCAAAAACAAATAATATCTAAAACAAGGCAAATTCTAAGTTAGCAGCCTTTGATAAACACTCATTAATAAACCTGACTAAACCATTCTTTCCCAAGCAAAACTGTCTGCCTGTCTGTCTGAATGTGTCTATGGACTGGTCTAGAATTATCAAACCTCATGATTCAACCTATAGGATGCTACCATGCCTGGCTCCACAACATTGTTTTTCTTTCTTGGGCCAATAAAGGACCTGCAGATAAGAGTTACACCTTAGAGAAACCGAACACTCCATACCTTTTAAGAAGGGTTTATTTGTCATAACTGAAATGTTTTTTAAGAATCTTTTTGATAACCAGCCCTCCACACCTATGTTTGCTAAATTCGTTTCAATTTAATTGTAACATGAATACTTATCATTCTGTATGTTAATATGGTATATATTCTAATCAAAGTATAACACCAAGAAGAGAGTAACTTTCTAAATCTCCTTGTGATTTCTTTTGATTGCCATAAAACCAAATTTCAATGGGAAATGCATTTCTCTAAAATAGCTAAATGTTTGAGTGTGTAATCCAATACTAAATGACTAAAAAAGTCACACCTACATGGAAGATGCTACATTAACCAACAATGGTACTCATCTGTTTGTTAACTGCACTAAAAGATAGAAATGGCTGGGCATGGTGGTGTATACCTCTAATCCCACACTTGGGAAGCAAAGACAGAGAATCTCTGAGTTCCGGTCCATCCAGGATTTAAGGTTAAGACTTTACCTCAAAAAATAAATAACTAATAAAATTTAAAAATAAAATTAAAATAAAAAAAAGATTCTGGGTCATACATAAAGCTGTACCTGAGCACAGTCACAGAATTTTTCACTGAGGTGGACACTATTCATTAGCACCTACTCCAACTTTTGGTTTTGAACTCAGGAGCTCCCAAAGACAAACAAAAATATAATCAGCCTTCTATATCCAGTGTCCCATACCCTCTAGTTCATACAATTGTGGCTCAGAAATATTTTTTTAAGCACTACGCCTTTAGTGGACAGGTAGAGTCTTTTTCCTTCCCTAAAAATTCAGTTTAATTAACAACCATTTACATAGCATACATACCATATTAGGTTAAAGTAATTTATAAAAGAGTAACATATACCATACAGTCTTAGGAGGGATTTGTACATCTCTGGAGTTTGGTGTCTACAGAGAATCCTTAATTACCTATAGATACCACAAGACAACTACAGCCCTTCATTGTATTTAATACACAAGGCCTAATTATGTCATCATATCTAAATTTATATTACCCAGGCTTTTACTGTATTTAATGAGGACTGGCAAAAGTGGTACTCAAAAGAACTACTTTTAGCTAGAACACAGCTATGGTCATTTGTTTTCATATTACCATCCATGGCTATCCTTGTCAACACTAGAGTCGAACAAGCACAAAATATTTACTAACAGAAATACTGTTACAGGAAGCCTGCCGGCCATATTTTAGGCTGTCCTTTCATCCCTGGTACTGTACTATTATATAATTCACTGCTGACAACTTCAAAAGCTGTAGTCACCGACCTAGGTACAAAGAGCAGCTTATCACTTTGTGGTTACATTAACTTTGGATAAGTCATCTATCTAAACTTTCATCAATATCATCATCTTTAAAATGATATACTCATCTCTATTAATAAGACATAAATCTAAGGGAAAATAGTGAAATATAAAGATATCAGCTTAATGTAGAAGAGCCACAATAAATTATGATAGTGATAACTTTTAATGATTCAATATGAACACAAGTTTCTACATGGTCAAGAGCTCTAGTTACATATTCATTAGTAAGACCTTTTCTTTCTTTTTTGAGATAGCCTCATGTAGCATGAGACTTTATTTGTAGCTGAAATTGACCTTCAACTTCTGATCTTCCTCTAACTCCCCAGTGCTGGAACTGTAGCTATGTGCTAACACATCTGATTTCATATGGTTATAAAGACTTAACCCAAGGCTTCAAACACCTGGGCAAGCACTCTATCAACTGAGCTATATCCCCAGCCCAGTACAACCATTATTACTATTTGTTGAAGCTTTTTTGTTGCTTGTTTTTTTGAGACAGGGTCTCACCATGTAGCTCTGGCTGTCCTAGAACTCACTGCCTTTGCCTCCCAAATGCAGGGATTAAAGGCATGCGCCACTACACCTAGCTATTTGTTGGATTTTACTCATATGGTTTTTTTTTAATGTTTTATCTTAGTACATGTAAATGAAATGATAATGCATGCTTTAAATGTTTTATTGACATTATGTTCACAAGTAAAGATGACTCTGTGATCTCATTTCCATTAATAATGTAGTCAAAATCCTGTTGGCCAGGCTAGAGAGACAGCACAAGCCGAGTACAAATTCTGAGCACTCAGGTGAAAAAGCTTGTAAGCCTAGAAGTGGGGAAGCAGAAAGACAGGCGGATCCCAGGGGCTCATTAGCCAGCTAAGCCAGCCTAATCAGTTGGCTCCAGGTATAGTGAAAAACGCTCTCCTAAAGCGGACAGCCATTGATGAAGACACCTAATACTGACTTCTGGCCTCCACATGCACACATCTATGCATATATGCACTCACATGTGCATACACAAAACACTTACCCACACATATTCTAAAGTGGCTCACTCATCTTTTTAACTACCATTTCTTATAAATGAAAGTTTCATGAAATTATTGTATGTCCACTAAGATTCCAATTTTTAATAAAATTGAATTATAAAATTTCACTATCAATTTGTTCTAATTTTATTGTTTATGTGCGTGGACATGTGTGTACACGTTCATGCAGGTGTACGTGTTTAAGTGTACATGTGGATATCAGAGGACAGCTGTGTGGAACTGGTTCTCTCCTACCTTACGGGCTCCAGGAATCCAACTCAAGTTATCGAGCTTGCATGGCCAGCACTGTAAAAAGGCTGAGCCATCTCACCAGCCCAATCTTTTCATCACAACACACCAAAAGGAAGGGCATTCCAATTCATAGTTTTAAACACATATTTTAAATCTTTTTAACAAAGCTGAGCATGTCAGAAATCATTGAAAAAAGTTATTCTTAATTTCTAGCCAGTAGGAGTAGGAAACCAGGAGCAATATTATATACAACAATTAATTCCTATTCTCTTACAGACATGAATTAATTACATGAAAAGAGGTACCTTGCATATTGGAACAATTTCCACAGAAAAAGTGCTCTTGTAATTGTATGTGTTACTATGGATATCTTGAGAGATCAATCTCTGTGATGCTTTATATCTATTAAGAAAAAAAATTATATTAACAGAAAGGACAGGTCCTTCCTTATATAAAGTTGGGGACACCAATTTTTATCAAATCCAAGTCCAGTGTCTTCAAACAGCTTCCTGATGGTGTGATTAGCTTTGTCAACTTGACATAACCTAAAAGAACTGTCTTAGGACTGAGAAGGACTGGGTTCTATGAACATGTCTGTGGTGGACTATCTTAATTAAGTAAATTGATGTGGGAAGACCCAGCCCCACAGTAAGTAGCACATTCTCTAGGCCAGCAGTACTCAGTCTGTGGATCCTGCATCTCAGACATTTACATTACGATTCATAATAGCAAAATTAACAGTTATGAAGTAGCAATGAAATTTTATGGTTGGGGTCATCCACCATGGGGTCATCACCATGAGGAACTATATTAAAGGGTCCACAGCATTAGGAAGGTTGAGAACTACTGCCCTAGGCAGAGGGTCCTGAACTGTTTTAGAATAGAGAAACCTAGCTGAGACAAGCAAGCATGTGGACAGGCATGTCCACATCCATTTCTCTCTGCTCTTGATGTGATGTGATTTATTGATTTGATTTATCAATGAAGATGTACTGTAACAATTGTAAGCCCAATAAACCCTTTCTCCTAAGCTGCTTTCTGTCACAGTGCTTTATCACAGCAACAGACATGAAACTAGAACATAGGGCAATGTCTAATATTATGCACTTTTATTTCAAACCTTCATCAGAATGACTAAACTCTAAGCCGCACTAATGTACTCCCGGGTCTTTGTTCCTGCTAATCTCATCTTTCAGTATAAGCTCAGCTTATGAAAATTTCTCCCATCTTGAAGTCCTAGTTCTTCTACCCATCTTCTATGGCTCATCATTACAGTGCTTATTGTTATGGAGTTAGGTTTAGCTATGAAAAGATTCTTCAGCACTCTTAGACTAATATAAAATGGGTAGGTCAATGTTTCATGACTGTTTAAATATTCATACTAAAATTTTAATTTTAACAAAGTTAAGTTATCTAAGCCTGAAGACCAGATGTGACCTATATTTGGATATCCTATTCCCAGATCCATGGCCTTAACATATTTAGGTTCACAACGTACCTACAGGGAACCGTCCCCTGAAGAAACTCCACCATCTTCTGAGCATGTTGTTTGGAAGAATAGTAGAAATCCAGACCATCTAAAAATAATAATAAAAACAACCACATGACAAATTCAACCCATAAGCAAAACATATTATTAGGAATTACAGCCAAAAAAGGTTGGGGATATCAATTAAGACCTGTTTGGCAAAAAGGCAGACAAAAAATAATGAAAACAAGCTTCACATTAATTCACAAGAACAAAATTCAAAGCCAAGAGAGGAAAGGAAAAGAAGATTTGATGTAATAAATAGAACAATCTACCAAGATGATGGCAAGAGCCCATGTAGTTAACACACATGAAAAAATTACATGCCGAGACTGAACATAGTCACTAGACACCATTATCTGCCAGTATCATTTAACACTATCAACAAATAGCCAAGCAAATCTACTGCTAAGAAATATTTATGAGATACCTAATAAGAATTAAATTTACCCATTATAGCCAAGACAGTATTGAGGGAAATGAGAAAATTCACAGGACTTACATGAAATTAAGACATTATGAGACTAGCATAAAATTATAAGTTCATGTAAACTTGAGATTGCAGAAATAGGCTACTACATTTAATCAAAAGAACTTAACAGAGTCAATGGCATTTAACAGATAAAAGATGAATTTAGGCACTTCACACCAATTACAGAGTTAAGACCTAACTATGAATTACATTATAAAGCATATAAAAAATAGGATTTTTTGTGACCTTAAACAGTTCTCAAGCATAAGAAACGTATGATTGACAAATGAAAAAATTGGATTAGATGGTGCTGTGTACAGTTTCCTCAAGATTGATACATTCCATCCTGCAGGAAGGAAAACAACTCAAAATAGCTTCAGGAAGTCCCTAAAACTAACCAGATTCACTAGAGCCCTGACTGCCACAGTTAGCAGAGGTAAGCTACAAATAAGACTCCAAGATCAGACCAGGTGCCTGGAAGAGGTTTAGACCAAATGAGTCACTTAAAAAGGACACTCTCCAACCTGTTGAGCTGCCTGCAGGCTGTGTGCAGTCTGTTCCTGGTGCCCAGCTTTGTGAGCTGTTGCCCACTTGAGGTGGGCTTGGGTGATGCAGCTGTCTTTGAGTTATTCCTGCTCCTGTAAGCAACCTCTCACCCATACTCCTGTAGTAACCCCAATCAAATACACTGGTTTATCAAGTTGGACTTTGGTGGTGTCCGTACCTTTGGTCTGTAGTGAGATCCCTATATGGGGTAAGTAGACGTGTGTGCTGCAATACCTCCCCAGGAAAACCTCTGTCACCCAATAGCTGGACTTTATCAGACTTTAAAAGTTGGGGCTGGAGAGATGTCTAAGCAGTTAAGAGGCTCTTTTAGAGGACCTGAGTTCAATTCTAGCACGAACATGGCAGCTCACAACTGTCTGTAACTCCAGTTCTGGGGGAGGGGGTCTAATGTCTTCTGGTCTCCAGGGGCACTGCATACATATGGTGTACTTATAAACATGCAGGCAAGGCATTCATACATAGAAAATAAATAAATTTTTAAAAGTTAAAAAAAAAAGAAAGGACACCATTGAGAAAAGGAAGACAGGCTACAGTCCAGGAGAAGACATTGCAAATCATACAGGCAGTAGAGATTTATATGTCGAACATGGCTCCTCATCACTAGTCCTTAGTGAGATGGAAATAAACCCACACTGAGACACCAGCACAGACTTCCCTCTACAAAGATGGTCAGCAACTGCAGCAGAGAACTGGAACCTTTCAACATTCTGTCAGGAAAGTGAAGACCACAGCCACATACACTGTGGCTGTTTCTCAAACATAAACACCAACCTAAATTTCCCATAACTCAGCCCTTCGGTCTTTAAGTACAGAGCTCAAGAGATGGCTAAAGACAACAGACGTTCCCTAACTTCCACACGTGGCATGGCATATGCCCCAACAAACAAAATTAAATACATAAATAATGTAGTGAAATGGTTCACAAGGAGAACTAGCTGAAAGAGATCGATGTCTTAAAGGAAAATGATATTGCTTATGCCCAGGAGATACCTCACTAAATGGCTTAATGGACAAGTTCTTCAAAAGCACAGTTAATAAACAATGAAGAAAATGAAGGCAAACTTTGTAACTTTTTCCAGTGGTAACGTAACTGACAGCAAAATTGGTCAAAGCGCAGAAACATGTTTATATATGTATGTACATACACACACCAGCACATGGATCAATTAGAAACCTCAACCACTGCTCACACATAAAATCCCAGAACTACAGAGAATGAAACAGGAGCTCTGAGAGTCCAGACAACCTGGGCTACAGAGACCCTGTCGTTCAACACAAACTGGTCTCCGTATTTGTATGTGTTTTGAGAGGGTTGGGGATTGGGGAGATTGGTGTTTTTTGTTTTTTTCTGAGAGAAAGAACATGAAGTTGGAAGGCAGTATCTGACAGGAGTTGGGAGAGGGGAAGAATATGAATAAAATGTATTGCATGAAAATTTTTTAAAAATTTAAAAAAACATGAGAAAGGGAAAAGAAAATGTTAACTTCAACAAATATCATTCTTAGCACTGGAAGGTAACCACCATCCTAAAAACACATACAAAACTAGAAAAATAGATACATGAGTGAAGGATAACTAACCACAGATGACTCACAATAGAAAGAAAATGATTAAGATGCATAACAAAACTGTTAGCCCTTATCACTAATCAAGTACAGATTAAAACAACATGCCATTGTCGTGTCTAAAACTTAGAAAGGCCAATACAGTTTTTAACTATTACCAGCAAGTATCTGGAAAAAATGAAAGCTTACTAGTGCTGGGAAAGTATACTAGCACTATTGTGGGACATCAAAATTTGTATTTGGATTCTCTTGTCCAGTAATTCCAATTCTTTAAATCGATTCCCAAGAAAAAACACTACATATGCACAAAGGTGAACATAAGGATAATTACTTAGTGCTGTTTTCAGCAGCAAAAAATAAAATGTAAGTCCACTAATAAAGAAATAAATATATATATCCACTAACTAAGGTCTATCAGACAGCAATTAAAAAGAATTAAATGAAACTACATACACATGCACTGTTGTTCAGTCTTCCAAATGTGTTAAAAGTGTATCAGAGTCATGGAGCACTCCATGAAAGCAACTACTGACACATACAGAGTATATTTTGTCTTAAGGAACTATACCGTCTCTAGAGATGACAGATAAAGGGAAAGTGGGGGAGGGGCCCTTATACATGGTTTGAATTTGTAGAATTTTTTAAATACATAGTTTATTTTTATTAAAGTGTGTGTGTTTATGTGCACAAGGTGCCTATAGGACAAAGAAGGCATTGGACTCCCTGGAGCTGGAATTACAGGTGATTTTGAACCACTGAAACGGGTGCTTGGAACTCTGTCCTCTGAAGAGCAACTAGCACTCTTAGCGGCTGAGTCATCACTCCAGCTCCAAATACATTTCTCTTTAAATTACTAATATACAAGCTACGGAAAACACGCATCTAAATCAAAAATTAGTAATGAAAGACTTTAGCTGGAAGAAGGGTTCTTAAATCTGCAGCGTTGGGGGTTTGGCAGTAATTTTAAAATGTATCCACTCTTTTGGCAACAAAACATTCTGTGCAGATAATTTCTTCCACAGTCCTTAGCTAGAATATGTGTTCCTTGCCTCATACAACTTAAAACAACAACAATAACAAACAAACAAAGCAGACTCTCATGCTGCCCAGGCAGGCTTATATAGAGGACAACCTTCAAACTCACTCCTCCTGCCTCCAACTCCCAAGTACTGAGATTACAGCACACCCAGCTTTGAGTTTCTCTATCAGGCCTTACTCAGCACACTTTTGCCTAGGGATTAGCCAATAAAGGAACTTTATACACCAGTGTGGTGGTCTGGATGAAAATGGCCCCCACAGGCTCACAGGGAGTGGCACTACTAGGAGCCATGCCCTTGTTGGAAGAAGTGTATCATTGGGGGAGGTCTTTGAGGTCTCAGATGTTCAAGCCAGGCCCAGTGTCACTCTCTTCCTCCTGCCTGCCAATCCAGATAGAGAAATCCCAGGGGTTTGGGGATTTAGCTCAGTGGTAGAGCGCTTGCCTAAAGGCCATGGGTTTGGTCCTCAGCTCTAAGGAAAAAAAAAAAAAAAAGAAAGAAATCCCAGCCATCTCTCCAGCACCATGTCTCCCACCATAACAATGGACTAAACTCTGAACTATAAACTAGCCCCAATTAAATGCTTTTTTAAAAAAAAAGAGTTGCCATGGTCACAATGTCTCTTCACAGCAATAGAAACCCTAACAATGCATCACTAAACTGTTCAATGATACAGACCACCCTATGCCTACCAGTAATACACTCAACCTAGAGGCATAGATTAAGTTTTCACGTAACTGTTATTTTCTCATTTAAGGAATTCGGCCATTGTTTCAAGAACAGTCACCACCAAGTAAATCTGTACTTTAAAAAGTGACTTAGGAAAGCAGTTCATCTAAAAATAACAAGCACCAACCAAAACCTATTACTAGCAGGAGTCTTGTGTTTGCTTCAAAACATTTATATTTTAGATATTAATCTCAGAACGATGGCATCTCCATCAAATACATGTAAGTATGCAGCCTCCACAGCGAATGCTACGGGCCTGCAGTGTCCCTCAGCCGCAGAATCGGGTAGAGCCCAGATTGATGCCAATCCCTACCACCATCAAAGAAACCAAGCAAACAAAAAACAGCAAACTCTGAGGCAGACGTATAGACTACTATGAAACTTTTAAAGTTTTAAAACTCTATTCAGACATTATTTATTCATCCCTCTTTATTTACTGAGTTTACACTGAATTCTACTCATCACAAATACCTCTCAGTACATAAAATACAGAAGAATTTAGAGATCTTCCAATCCCAGCAATCTTTCCCATAGCAAACAAGGCTTTATGAGTTTCTTATTACAGCACTTTGCACTGCATCAATGGAATCACTGGCTTAGTCTTCAAGATGAGCAACACATAGAGGACAAGAACTAATATTAATATACCATTCTATTTCAAGCACAAAGAATGGCATCAATCATAAACTAAATGGTTAACAAATGAACTAGGACAGACAGACATCACAAAAAGCAGTTCTAGATTTGTACTATCCAGAGTAGCCACAAACGACATGTGAGTTTACTATCAGCTAACAGAAGAAAATTCAAAATTCAATTCCAAAATTATAGTAGTCACATTCAATACTAGCCACATGTGAACAGTCATTACCATACTGGACAATGTAGACAGAAAATTAAGGTTGTCTTCTTTTTACACATGCACATATATGCACATGAATTTTTTAAAGAATTTTTGCAACTGCTTCAACTTCTGAGAAAGATAGGTTATTTAGGATAACAGAAAGAAAAATTTGATATTGTTTCAAATTCTTTTAAATTTGAACTCACCATGAATCTCTTTGATACGCAGTGTATTCTGATGCATTCCATATTTCAGAATCAACTGTTCCAGATAGTAGAAAGTTTTCTTGTGCAGAGTCTAAATATCCATGCATTATACAATCAATAAATTACATGCCAAAGAAGCATTAATAAATATAGTACACATATATCATCTACAGACACAGCACATTGATTTTTTTTTTCAAACAAAAACATTCTTTAAAAATTAACTAAAACATAAAATAGTGATGTATTTCCAAAGACGAATGTTCCAGAACCTAGATTCTGGTTATACATAAAGGACTTAGGGAACAGAGAAGGTTTTATCAGCTACTTATAATGGACAATAAGTTCAAGATGCAGGATTCCCTCATTATGTTTTCAGTACCTTCTGCCTGACTTGAATCACAGCCTTCCAGAAGTCCTTGGCTTCTACTCTATGGCAATCTCCACACATCTGGGACTGAACGACATAATCCACCACAAACACCTGCTGAAGGATGGCACCATTCATCACCTGGGGAAGAGAGCAATCGCACTCCTTCACTCTCAGTTCTGTTCAACAGTGAGTGCTTCTTGATTAAAGCAAGAAATTGTAATAAGGATTTAAAACTCGGTTCTATGAATGCATTAGGGACAGCAGTAAGAGGAAGTTAAAATTACAAGACTAAGTTACACTACCTCTTTTGGAGGGGGGGGGGGCACAAACAAGGACGACTATGGAGCCTCGTGCATGCTGGCCAAGCACTCTCACTGAGCTACTCACCCCAGTGTAAGTTACACTGCTTACAGAAAGGCACACAACTGAATTCCACAGATTACTATTTTAAGTTTACCTCTAGAAAAAGTGGTTGTCAACATAGCCTTTTAAAAATTGGGGGGTAGGGAGTGCCCTGACTGGGAGAGAGCTTGTCTGTCGTCACACCTGAAGCCTTGGGTTTGATTTCCATCGCCACAAAAAGCCAGGCATGCTGGAACACACCTATAATCCCAGCACTTGGGAAGCAGAGCAGGATGGTCAAAAGTTCAAGGTCTTTCATGGCTATATACTGAATTTGAGAACTCAATCAAAAAGTAAATTTTTCAGCCGGGCGTTGGTGGCGCACGCCTTTAATCCCAGCACTCGGGAGGCAGAGCCAGGCGGATCTCTGTGAGTTCAAGGCCAGCCTGGGCTACCAAGTGAGCTCCAGGAAAGGCGCAAAGCTACACAGAGAAACCCTGTCTCGAAAAACCAAAAAAAAAAGTAATTTTTCTAAGTTTATACACATGTACATGTTGTGTATTACAGGCACCAACAACATATGACTGAGAAAAAAACGAGGGTTGGGCAGGGTGGTACACACCTTTAATGCCAGAGGCAAAGGCAGGAGGATCTCTGTGAGTTCCAGGCTAGCCTGGTCTACTCAGTAAGCTCTAGGCAAGCAAGGGCTACCTAGTGAGAACCTACCTTAAAACAAAAACAAAATCTTTAAAGGGACGACTGAATCCACTAATTGTGAGCAATGGTAGCTACTAGTGACCTAATCACACATCAGATGATAAAAAAACAACAAGATTTAGACTGTACTCTTCCTTTTAGGCCATTCAGTCCATAAAATAATTAACACTAGTCCCTCATTCCCACTACTTGTATTTTAACCAGGTTTAGGGGGGGAAAAAATGAACAGCTTACCTCTTTCTGAACTGTCAATTTGACTTTCAGTCTCTTGGAATGGGGCTCAGTCCAAACAAAGCCTGCATCGACAAGGCGAACCTTCAATAAAATATTAAAGAAAGAAAAGGGAAACCTAAGTCCCCAGCTGAGGGATGGAAAGATGAATGAATACCTCACTAATAAACAGACTCCTAAGATCGTTGAAGGGACATGTGATGAACACCATTACATACCATTCACTACAAAAAGAGAAAAACATTATCACTAAAGCCATGCCAAAAGAGCAGCAATGGAAGGGCAAGCCAGTGACTGCACCAGTGAACCAAGGAAGAGTTAAAGATTTTCACAGGTGAAAAAGTTATTCGAAGGGGAAAAGTTACTGCTCTTCAAGCAAAAAACATACTTTTTTAATAAGAAAATGAACTGATGACTTCATTATCCAAAAGAAATCGCACAAATAAAACTACTCAAGTTATTATCTTTCTGTGTTGGTCTGTAGCTTCTTTTTTAATTTATTTTTTCCTTTTATGAATGGACATTCGGGGGTGGAGAGATGGCTCAATGGTTGGGAGCACTGACTGCTCTTCCAGAGGACCCAAGGTCAATTCCCAGCACCCACATGGCCGCTCACACGTCTGTAACTCCAGTTCCAGGGCTTCTGACACCCTCACACAGACATATATACTGGCAAAATACCAAGACATAAAATAAATTAAAAAAAAAAAAGAATGGATATTCATTTGAGAACTATTCATGTCCAAGCTACATACCTGTAACACTCACTGATAGATAAGAACAAAAAGAGTCTGCTCTTCTTGATGAACTGACTACAACACAGAAGGCTAGAATGAGAGCTTTGGAACAAAAGACTGAGAACAAGAATGGAGGTTTGTAATAATCAGGGGAGAAACCTCAACAAGAGGTACCAGAAATAAGAAAAGCCAGAGCTGCTTCCTAGGAGAGACTTCTCCAGGACTGAATACCTATATATTAGAAAGAGGAAGAGAACATACACGAGTACAAAGCCCAAGTGGCTAGGTAATACCAATTTTTTTTTTGACACAAATAAGCAGCAGATGTAATGGATGGAGAAAGATCTCTTCATGACATCTATGACATACAGAAGTGGACAGTATGACACTGGTCTAGAGGTGCATGGAGAAATCTGTTCACAGACTGAAATGTGAGCATGCTGATTACAATTCTATGAAATATTGTCTGCTAAGAACAAGACTAGCCAAGGCAGATGCAGTACTGAAGACTAAAACTCACCTAACATGACTGGTAAGCTACAACAAATCCCAGTAGTCAAGAAATCAGGTCAGATAAAGTGATAAGCAGCTTCCTAATCAGAACCCCTTCCCCTCTAAGCCTCATAGTCCTCTCCACCACCTCCTCCCAGTTTCCAACTGCAGGAGTTAGGAGGAAATGTACACAGCATTATGTAAGTCTGTCTGCTCTTCCTAAAGCCTCTAATCTCCATCTGCAGGAATGGCGAGACCTTGACATCCACTTCAGCATTCGGAGGCTCTCCACACTTCTCCTTAGACAGGCAATTGCCAACTTTATTGAGTCCTTTGTCCTTTACCGTAATTACAGACACCTCAGTCATCCTCTTATTTCCTACTATCAATTTCCATGTCTCTTCTGTCCCCATCTAACACTCTTTCAAATCCTAAAATCCTTTTACTATGCTATCTATTCACAACAAAACCTTAAAAAAAAAAATCAAGGAAGCATCCCTTTCTCCTTCTAGTTATCCTGATTATATTGCTTCCCTTCGGACAATTAAAAAAAAACCCAAGAACAAAATTAATCAAGAACTTGAAAGATTCCAGAACTTAAAAATATTACTGCTAGAACTGAACAATGGCTCAGTGGTTAAGAGCACTTGCTGTTCTTCCAGAGAACCTGAGTTTGATTCCCAACACCCACAAATCAGATCACAACCATCTGCAACTCCAGTTCCAGGGGATCCAACAACTTCTGGCTTTCAAAAGCACTGTACACATGTAAGGCACAGACATACATGAAGGCAAAGCACCATATACATAAAATAAAATAAATCTCCCCCCATTTTGCTAATAAATAAATAAAAAAAATACTGCTGAGCAAAGGTCAATGTAAAAATTAAGTAGAGAGAGAGAGAGAGAATCAAAACATTTGCAATGGGACTAGCAAAACAGCTCAGTGGTAGAGTACCTGGCAAATATGGGCAAGGCCCTTGGTTCAATCTCCAGCACCAGAAAAAAAAAACAGAAGGAAAAGAAAATAGGAAAAAAAACAAACAATAGTCACCCAAACAAAACAAACCCCACATGGAAGAACTGTCTGAAAATGAGTGTTTTAACTATTCCACCTACCTTACTCAGAGGAGCTTTAATTTTTTTCAAGCACAGAGCAAGGAGCTCCCTGGATTCTAAAGCGCACTGTACCCAAGATGCTGGTGGCTGAAAATATCTGAAAGAAGATAACACACTAAATCTGCCACTTCTCAGGAAAAAAACAAACAAACAAATAGCAATTCCTATTGGATATGCAGAAATTATACTGATTATTAACCAGGAGTAACCCAAAGCTACTCTGAAACCTTAACCCAAAAAAGATTACATGACCTATGAGACCACTGCCTTTAGCTCAAAACTGAAATTCTGAAAAAGCCCACCTGAGCTATTATATATTTTATCACTTAATTTAGTAAAAATTCCCGTTAAGAGACACTGACAATAGCTCAGAGGGTCAGAGCTTGCTGCCAGGCCTGACAACCTGAGCTCACACAGTACAGGAAGAGAACCAACCCTACAAGTCATCCTCTGACTTCCACATGTATAGCATGGTAAAGTGAACATACATACATAATCAATCCATAATTATTAAAAAATAAATAAAACAAAATTCCAGTGAGGAGGCTGGAGAGATAGCTCACTAGTTAAGAGGACTCTACTTGGGTTTCCAGCACTCGCTATTGGCAGCTCACAAATGCCTGTAACTCTAGCTCTAAGAGGATTCAATGCCCCTGGCCTACAAGGGCACTGCACTCATGTGTACATACCCACATACACATAAATAAAATAAAAACAAGTTTTTATAAAATTCCAGTAAAAATGGCAATATGCCCAAAATTTCCTTGAAGCTATACTGACAAAAAACAGGTTAGAATCATCACAAAATGACACTCAAATTATTTATTTTATACTTCTATAATGTTTGAGAAATGTTTATTTTTCACACACACACACACAAATGAAAACTTAGTACATCACAATACTATGTATAACCAACAGTTTGCCATCAAGTTCTGTTTCAATTTTTAAGCTGAAAAACACAATTTTCAAAATAAGCCTTATTAAGCCAAGCATTGGTGGTGCATGCCTTTGATCCCAGTACTCTACACAGGAGGCAGAGACAGGCAATCTGTGAGTTCGAGGACAGCCTGGTCTACAGAGCAAGTTCCAAAACAGCTAGGGCTACAGAGAAACCCTGTCTTGAAAAGTCAAAATTAATTAATTAAACATCATTAAAGTATAAATCTTTTCTGTATATTAAAAAATTTTAACCCGGTCTTCCAAGGACTAGTACATAGTAGGTATTTATTAATAATTCTTGTTAAATACTCTCAAATGAGTTAGTAAATGCTTTCTTGCCATAGTTATTAAATGGTTAAACACCTTTGATTTTCATCCTTCAAGGTTCAATAAAAATCATTTGTTTATTAAGTATTTTCAAATGGTGTTTCAAATATTAGCTATCATCTAATAAAATTCCTTCATTCTCATAAGAAAATTCAGACTCCGACCATATCTAAGCATTACAGATAACCAGTTGATAAGAAATCCAAGATAAACTGGGTGTCCCAATTCTTTGTCTTGTAAAACCCCCACCGTGTGTATAATAATAAATATTTATAACAGATCAAAAGCCTCATACTCACCAGGACACACAATGCAAACTCCCCTAAATAGAACATTAAGTACATGGATTTGTATATGTGCACACAGAGATATTATTCTGGGGAGACACAGTTTGAATTCTTGGGGAGGTCCAGACAACCTCCCACATACACAAAGCCAAGTGCTAAACCTATTTGGGAAATTACAGGCATATAATTTTTATATTCACTGGCAAGTTATGTCTCTCAATGGACTACCTGATGTAAATAGCATGTGCCAACAACTGAAAGAACAAAACTAAAGAAGAAATGAAACATCAGCTCTCAGAAGGCATCTTCTACTGTCAAATTCAAACTATTTCTACAAATACGTTTACTATCTTGACCAGATTAGTAGAACAGTAGAAAGCACACTATAAAATGGCAAATTATTAAATCCTTGGTACCATCAACCTAAGTAAAAATTAAGTCTCAATTGCACATGCTTCCTTCTGTGTACTGGTATAATCTTAGCACACCACAGTGGCTCTCTGAATGATTATCAACTTAAGAAAGCTAAACAAGTAATGGACCATACTGTACCTTTGACATTGTTTGCAGAAAGAAATGGAGACCTGCTTTGGAACACCTTGGCTGATGTCAACTTTACTTCGTAAACAGGCCACACAAACATTGGCAGGATTTGGACTAATTGGGACACCACACTCACAGCACAAACTTGAGAAAATAAAGTATAAAAATTTTCCAATTAGATTTTATAAATTCACTAGTCAAATAAAATAATATAAAAAAACAAAACTCTACCAAACCAGAGACCCAGGATCTGTTTCTAGCCCCTAAGTGGCAGCTCACAACCATCTGTAACTCCAGTTCCGGGAGATCAATGTTTGAATCAACCATTCATCTCCATGGGCTCCTGCATGCACACGGTACACACACATACTCTCACAGACCACAAATAAGACAAGCTGAGCATGGTAGAAAACCCCTATAATCCTAACAATCAGGAAGCAGGGAACATGTTTCTTTTGAGTCCCGGGCCAGGCAGGACTACATAATGAGACCCTGTCTCAAATAGTAGGGGGTAGAGTGGGGGGTGGACAGAATTCTAAGGCAGAAAAAAAGCAATCTTAAAAAGAGAGTGAAGAAGAGTTTTGGAACACTGATCAAAAAACCAAGGAGGGCTACAATTCTGTGCACTGTGCAATAGGACTTCATACAATGATAGCAATGTTCTAGCCCTTCATCATCCCTTCTTTAAAATCGGAAAACTAAGAAAAAAAGAGATGAACAATGCAAATAGTATAAGATCAATGGCAAAAACTGAAGCACAGCCAGGCGATGGTGACGCACACCTTTAATCCCAGCACCAGGGAGGCAGAGGCAGGATTTCTGTGAGTTCGAGGCCAGCCTGGGCTACAAATCGAGATCCAGGACAGGCACCAAAGCTACACAGAGAAACCCTTTCTCAAAAAAAAAAAAACAAAACAAAACAAAACAAAACCCTGAAGCACATTCCACATGAACAAGGTGGTGCACACCTTTAGTCCCAGCACTTTAGGAGACAGAGGCAGGCAGATCTCTGAGTTCCAGGACAGCTGGATTTAATGTGGGGAAACTGTCTCAAAAGCAAAACTAAACAAAGAAACAACCAAAAACAAACAAACAAAACATGTAAGAGCAGTTTCTCTTTCATCTAAACACTGACAGGTTTAGGACACATCTGACCAGATGCCTCTCTCTGTTCTGAGCACTGTCTCCACATTAGGAACAGTTCATTTACTGGGACTCACAGGAAAGGACAATGTACATATAACTTGAAAACAAAAAGGAGATTCCTAGGGGCAGGAAAGGGATCAGTGAAGGGGGGCAGGGAAGCACAGCAGTAGGGTAAATATGAGCACTGTACAACGTTAAATCTACAGATACTCATATGCATAAAAATGTCCTAATGACCCAACACTCAGGAAGCAAAGGCCAGCCTGGTCTACAGAGTGAGTTCCAGGCCAGCCAGGACTGTTACACAGAGAAACTCTGTCTCGAAAAACAAACAAACCACACAAAAATGTCATAATGAAACACTGTAATTTTTATGTTAAAAATTAACTTTAAAAAGAAAAATAGACCAAAATGGGCTGGACGGCTAAGGCTGGAGGAACAGGCCCTCAAGATCAGTCTTGCCTACAGAGTGAATTTCAGGCCAGCTGGGACTACATAGCAGGCCTCTATCTGAAGCAGATTTAAAAAAGGTTGTGAACCACTGACAATGTTGCCCAATGTTGCCCAAAAAGAAAAATATAACAAACTCCCAGTGGTAGCCACTAGCTCTGTGGAGGAACTGAATTATAAACTTAAATATCCACGTGCGGCTAAAGACTACACAGTGCGGTGCCTCTCCTAGCAGGATGTCTAGTAAAAGCGCTTCTCAAAGCATGCATTTTCTAGATCGAATTTAAAATGAACCGAATAAATTAACACGAATTACACTTCCTAGGGGATTGAGACAATTTTTTCTTTTCAATTGAGAGATGGGCTTCTGCCACTAAAAGTTTTCTCGGGAGTTTTAGAAGACTCGTCTTACGATCTGTAAACTAAGGAACCAAGGGGGGTGTGGGGGGGTGGGCTCTCGACTCACATGTGTCCCGGGCTGCGGTCCACGGCTTCTGTCATGTACTCCATCGTTCGGGACCTACGGACGGAAGGGGAGGAGCGGGGAGATCTCAATCCCGTGGAGTCCCCCCGGCCCGAGCAGGTCAGGCCCCGGGGACTCCGGAGGTGTCCGGCACCCACGACCCCGGCCCCCG